GTATTCCTATGATTTTAGGACATAAAAATAATTCATTTATTTTTCTTCAGCTTAGTCTCGATTTATCAGAGGTCGCCACAGCAGAATAAACCGCCAATTATTCCAGCATATGTTTTACACAGCAGATGCCCTTCCAGCTGCAATCCAGTATTGGGAAACACCCACACTACATTCTCACATGCGTGCACGCACACACACACACTTTGACCAATTTAGTTCATCCAGTTCACTCATAAAGCCTGTCTTTGATTATGAGAAACCGCAGCACCTGCTGGAAACCCACACGAGCATGAGAAGAACATGCAAACTCCACACAGAAATGCCAACTGACCCAGCCAGGATTCGAAACAGCAACCTTGCTGTAAGATGACAGTGCTAACCACTGTGCTGCCTTATAATATAAGTAGTTTATAAAATGAATTGAAAATTCATTCATTCATTTTCTTGTCGGCTAAGTCCCTTTATTAATTCGGGGTCGCCACAGCGGAATGAACCGCCAACTTATCCAGCATATGTTTTACGCAGCGGATGCCCTTCCAGCCGCAACCCATCTCTGGGAAGCATCCACACTTGTTTTAATGAGAAACTCTCTTCATCTAGACTCATTATTTCAGAAAACTACACTAGATGCTTTACTTGTCTAAAATGCTTCTTGATTTAACTTTTCTTTACAGATTTAGACCAGAAACAAGACTAAAACTCTGAGTAAGAGCAGCATTACTGCAGTGCAGTGCTGTGATGCTGATGATGATGCTTCTGATGGTGGTGGTCTTACCAGCGAACAGGGCCACGTTGGCGTGTTTGGCGTCGTACGGGCAGCGGGCCATCCCACTGATCTCCTCACCCAGAGCGTCCAGACTGTCCATCTGTGGGAATCCAGAGGTCAGAGGTTAAACCCACCCAAAGAGAGCCTGAACACGTTCAGCATGCACACACACACACACACACACACTCACACACACTCATCACCATGGTCTCTTTAACAGCTCTTCATCTCTCAATCTCCACGGCAGGATGAAGCTCGCGGGATTCATGAACGATTAGGATAAGTCAAATACAACACGTCCACATCATCATTCTTCTGTTTATGAGTGGTTTGATGATGATGATGTTCAGTGTTTTCTTTTTCGCTGGCTGAGGATGACAGTAGTGTAATCCTGAATCCTGCAACAGCTTGTCCTGTAGAGGCTGTGGTGTCGTGTAGCTCAGTGTAAATGACATTATTAGTTCCTCACCCTTTACTTGATTCAAGCACTCAGGAGTTTCTTTCATTTGTTGAACACAGAGTAATATATCGACATGTTTATGACAGATTTATGACAGGTTATGTTGTCTTGGTAACGTCAGGTTGTCATGACAACCACAAAATTAGGTAGTGATGTATTTGTTTATGTCAAGCTGTCAGAATAAACATGTCATCTTTGCATTTATAATGACGTAACTGAGCGAATGACACGTAACGACAGCTGTTATAAAAGACTCGTTCACAGTCATGACGTGTCGTGTGTATAAAGGTGAAAGGTCTGACGAACACCCCTTCAGGTAGAGTGTTGCTCAGTATGCCACGCCCCCTTACCGCTAGTTTGCTATGAGGGGATGATGAGTGATGTTGGAAAGAGGGCTGTAATCTTTTGTGTTGTTATGTAGATAAGAAGGCGCAGAACGATCGCCTCACAGCAAGAAGGTCGCTGGTTTGAGCCACAGCTGAGTCAGTTGGCATTTCTGTGTGGAGTTTGCATGTTCTCCCTGTGTTGGCGTGGGTTTCCTTTTCCTCCACAGTCCAAAGACATGCGCTAAGGGTGAATTGGGGGAGCTAAATTGTCCATAGTGTGTGTGAATGAGCGTGTATGGGTGTTTCCCAGTGAAGGGTTGCAGCTGGAAGGGCATCCGCTGTGTAAAACACATGCTGGATAAGTTGGCGGTTCATTCCGCTGCGGCAACCCCTCATTAATAAAGCGAATAAGCCGACAAGAAAATGAATGTGAACACGAGGACGTGAGGGCGGCACGGTGCATCAGTGAACAGCATGATCACCTAACAGCAAGAAGGTCGCTGGTTTGAGTCTCGGCTGGGTCTGTGTGAAGTTTGCATTTTCTCCTCATGTTGGCGTGGGTTTCCTTTTCCCCCACAGTCCAAACACATGCGCTATAGGGGAACTGATCAACTAAACTGGCCGTAGTGTGTGAATGAGTGTGTGAATGAGTGTGTATGGGTGTTTCCCAGTACTGGGTTGCAGCTTTCGCTGGGTAAAACATATGCTGGAATAGTTGGCGGTTCATTCCGCTGTGGAGACAAAGCCGAAGAAGAAGAATGAATGAATGAAGAAGAATAATTCTGTGAATAATCTGTAAAGAATGCAGCGTCTGAACTGAACTCTGTTATTCGTGTTTCAGTGGATGAGGGTGAACATTCCTCCAGAAATACACACTCAGTCATTCAGTGGACCAGTTTCTCAGATATTCATGTGTGTGTGTGTGTGTGTGTGTGTGTGTTCAGTCACAGCTGATGTAATGGGCAGCAGGCGTGCGCTGTGATCTGCTCAGATGGCTCTCGGGACGAGGCTGCGCACTGAGCATCCGTTCAGCAGCACATTTGTACAGCGCTGATTAATGCTGAGACTCTGACCCTAAAACAGACACTTCCACAGCCGACAGAGACACACACTCAGCATCTCTGTGTGCCAGATATTAGACGGAGAGCTGGCACACACACTCACACACACTCCTACATACACACGTCTGCAGTCGCCCTGCCATTGACTGAGTTTAGAGGACTGAAACACACACACACACACACACTGCGAACACACACTCTCTTACTCTGAGCTTCTGTCAGTTTAATCCAAATATCTGCAAATTCTGAAATCAAGAATCATTTCCAAGACGAGCAGAAATACAGTGCAGTGATCAGAGTCTGAATAAAGAGTTTCTCCTGAGAGAAGCAGAATGCTCTGACACTGGGCTGATCGAGGGAATAATCCTGTTTCTCTCTTTGACATGAGATTATTTCTCTTCCCTCTTTGTCAGATTATTCTGCTTTGCTTTAAAGAAAATCTCTCTCAGTTTGACTCGTCATTTCTGAAAACAGCACTGTAATGTTTCCTGTCTGGAAAATGCTTCTAGATTTTAGGAGTTTTCAAGATATTTAGTCTAGAAATAAGACAAACCCAGTGCAAACACACACTGTACACGAGGACAGAAGCAGCAGGAGATCCTGTCCATCAGTGTTCAGAGCCAACAGCAGCAGCCTGCAGAACACCAGCTGTGTGCCCGCATCTAAACCAGTTCAGCCGTCAGTGCTGAGATTACCCCATTTAAACCAGTTCAGCCATCAGCGCTCTGATCAACTGCTCCAGCTTCTGCCATTAAACACTCTTTACAGGGCAACGCATGTTCCCAGTGCAGTGTGCATGTAGAAAACACACTCTTATTTCTCTGACACACTTTAACCAGCACAACCAGTGTGCGGTCATGAAGTGTGCTTCAGGTCACTGGGCTTGGTGTGTGTGAGACAGGTGATTTGTTTTCCACTTTTTTTCTTGTCTTGTGTTAATCTTTTGCTATCTGCTGTAGGAGTGTATTGATTAGTTTATCGGGGTGAGGTTTGGCTTGTGTGTTTGGGAGTGAGTGAGGCATGACGGGGGCAGGTACAGCTACAGGTGCGCGGTGATTGAGCTCGCTCGCTCGAGTGCAGACAGCTGTAGTCTAGCTGTGAGTGAAATTGTAGGACACGAGGATGTCTAGTCTGCAAATGAATAGTGCTGTAGTCATTTTAAAGCACGATAGAGAACGCGAATGAAGCGCTTCACAGAGGAATACACTGGAAGGCGTCTTCACTCCGGTTCTGCCTCCTTCATTTCCGTCGAACGAGGCTCTCACTCGAACGTCCCGCCATTTATTAGCGTGCTGTTTTAACACGAGCACTGTGTCGAAACGACTGCTCTCCTCGATTAAACATGATAAGGGTGTGCTTCCCCTTTACTGAAACACGCTGTTTCCTTCAGGCTCCCCGTTACCCTGAGTGTAAACAATGGCGCTAACCGAGACCTCGCGCCGGATTCCCCACTGCATGACTTAGACTATGCGGTGTTCATAACCACCGAGTGTTTTGGTAAAAGTCGACCATTTGGTCCGAGCTTGACCCAACAAATATGAGGAGAGCGATCGCCCGGCTGCCGAGGACGCAGCAGCTGATGGCGGCGAGCAGCAGGCCGAGGAACGGTGATGATGGAGGTCCGGTGCGGATTCTGTGGAGCGCGCCGCGGTTTGAGTGGAGGAGGCCAGAGGTGAGTCAGGCGATAAACACCATTAGGATGTTGTTTTGGGGTGTTCGAGAGGCTGACAGTAGACATAAACAAACAGATGTGGAGAACACAGTATAAGGTGCCGTTAAATAGGAAAAACTTGAGCAACAGTTGATCGGGAAGATGAGCTGGAGTCAGAGAGAGTGACAGTGAGCTCTGACACTGGCACAGATGAGTTTTCCAGTCGCAGTTATGGAGATAACTTACAGATGACATCAAACTATTTCTGAGGTCAAGGAAGAATAAGAGCAGGTCTTGGTAAATGAGCACTTCCCAGATGTTGGGCAGTTTGCGGAAGGAGTTTAACAGTTCATGGCTGAAGATTGTTTTATTAAAGACTGAAGTGTACCGGCTGAAAAATAGTGCAGAGACTGAATGCAGACTTCAATGATTGAAGTGAAGAAGTGTAAATTAATGAAGATGAATCACAGCAAATGTGTCTAAAACACTCCTCTTTCTGTGCTTGATGTTGAGTAAACCCATATAATAATGGGATTGTATTTTTCAGAGATTGCTCTTATGTGTAAAGGTCTTCCTTTCACCATCTCATCAGCTTTGACGCAAGACTGAACAAAGATTTTTAAGAAATGACATGCCCAGAGCAGCAGCAGCAGTGTGTGTGTGTGTGTGTGTGTGTGTGTGTGTGTGTGTTATGACTGAAGACAGCATTCCCACCCCACTGCATCCAGTCAGCTTCATTTGTGGATATTTTAATTGGACATCAGTGTTGATGAAGACTTGTACTTTAGTGTTTTGGGTGCAGGGTGCCTTTTTAGAGGTTTGAATCAAATGAATGAGCAGCAGATCCTGAGAACTCTGGTGTTTTACGCCTCAAAGAGTCCTATAGAGCAGGACAAAATATGGAGTCTGGCAAAGTGTCAGAAATTGCAAAAGTGAAATAGGCATGAGCCGCTATATGATTCTGACGGTAGGAGTTTTTGTTAATTTGTCAAATAAATAAATGAATAATTCAGCCTATATGCTCATCGTGCAAGTTCATTAATAAAATACAAATGAAATAAGCGATCAGAAAGTCTGCAAATTAAATAACGATCAATAATAAGTTATGACAGAAACCCTCTCTGCAAAATGACGGACAATGAGAAATGCTAAGGCAGCCTCTGCCTCTGCCTTGAATATAAATGGTTTCAGGGTTTGGTGGTATTGTGATTACACCTCTAAAACTAGTTTTTTTGAAATATCAGGATAAAAACAAAAACTTTTCCCCCTTTGAACACAGTAGATCTATTTTGAGCAACATTTATAATATTTTGGAGCAGTAAACCTGTCAGGCAGAGTAATTGAAATGAATCAGTGCCTTCTGCTGTCTTCATTAGTTTCTAACACACTGATTTCTTTGATTTTAAATGGCATATTTGGATATCTTTTCTGCAGGATATACTAAAAATAAACAAAAAACTACTTAAATAAAAAATCTTACATATACAGAGGGAACAGTATAGCAGAAAACTTTGACTTCTCCAAACCTAAGTCTTTGTTGAAAACGGTTATCATGGCATGCCTGAAGTGAGAGTGCTGTATGGTGATGTAGAGAGTGTGCTGGAATAAGCGCTGGCTTATGCACTGCTCTGGCGGTTCACTATTGGAGTGCTGTATTCACCTGCCATTGGACTTCTGTTGTAACTAAGAAGAGAAAAGGTTTGTGTGTTGATCTTACCTGGCTGTATGAATAACGTCACGCTGTCTGCCTAACCTGATGATGTGCTGGTTTTAATCGACAAGCAAAATGATGTGCATTTTGATTTGAGAAGGTTTGAAAACTCTGTCATCAGAAAACACTAACTGCAATAAGAGTGGAGCACCTTTACTTGGAAATGGAGACGTCTTCACTGTGCTGCTGCGCTCAGTGCTTTAATTTCAGCTCCCAATCATGATGCCATTGCCAAATGCCCTTTCCGTTCAAGAACAGAAGCTCTTTCTCATGATTTCAGGAAATGTGACACAATAAAACCTTTAGTTTTGCTTTTGGATGATATTTTTTACTTTCTGTTGAGTTTTACTTTTTTAATTTTTGGTTTTAAATTTGTTAAAAGAAAGAGTTTTACATGTCAACTCCTGCATTTAGTTTTAGAGCAGGCTGAACTCGCTCTGCATATGAGCAGAAACGGTGATGTTGTGTGGTGATGATGATTGTAGATTTGCTGGGATCCTCAGTTCTGCTGATTGATTTCAGTTTTTATAAGTCTACAGAAGGTTTATTGGTGTTAGAGATGAGGTGGTGTGGAAGCCGGCGTTGTGTTCGGCTGTTGAAGAGGAGTTCTAGATTTGACATATTTAATATCAGTTGTTTGCTGTGGCTCTAGTGAGTTTTGACGTGTTGAAAGATTGTAATGATCAGTAACGTACTGTAATAAAATGCACTGAAATTCAATTAAAATTTTCCATCCTGACTGTGGCACTGAATCCTCTGAGCACACACAGATCCTCTGTATAACCAGCTCTTCTTCTGTGTATTGCCTCTGCCTGGTGAATCTCTGAATGCCTCCTCAACTGTAAGCCGCTTCAGAAAAAGCGTCTGCTAAATGTAAGTGTAGTGTATGTGAGTGTGCAGTGCAGTGTGTTATGGGTCGGAGGTCAGGCTCACCCTGTAGGTTCTGCAGGACGGGTTGAAGGCGTTGGTTCCGCACACAAACAGAGAGTCCTCGCTCTGCTGCAGGAGCACCTTGATGAAGTTATGACACTCGTCCTGCAAACACACACACGTTTAACACAACACTGTAAACAAACACATACACACATTTACACACACAGCAGATGTGCACCTTGTGTTTGCCCTTCATCCTGCAGGTGTCCACATCCGCCTGTCTGGACTTCCAGGTCAGCTTCTGTCAACAGAGAATCAGTGCAGATCAGCACAGCTCAGCTTCATATATATATATCATATCATATAAGCATTATAATATAGGCATTATAATACAGATTAAATGACATATAGTTCATAATTTACATGATAAGCATGTACAAATGCAGCACAGAAAACATTACAGATATGTTCTAAGATTATTTTGCAAAAGTACACAAGTGTGATTCACAGAAAACACCAAATAAACAGAAAGGCAGCTGAGTGATTCCAGATCTCTGCCTTGTAAACGCATCTAATTAATATCATCATTAACATATACATGATGAGCACACGCCCATATCCAGAATATCTCCACTGAACATCACACTGCAATAATGCTCTTCTCACTCAGAGTTTCTCTCGTTTCTCCAAATATCTAAGACAAGAAGCATTTCTAGACATGCAACACATATAGTCTTGTTTTTAAGAATGAATGAGTCTGAATAAAGTGAGTTTTTACTTAAAACAAGCAGAATAATCTGATGATGAGCACTGACACATCATTCCAACCTGTTTCCTTGGATTTCCCGCATTGTTTTTAACTTAAGTGGTTGTAAACAATTGAATTGGGCTTAATTTAAGCAAACAAATCAAGTTGAATGTTACTAAATTTAATCTGTTTAAATTCAACACATTTAAATTGTTTGTAAGAGTTTTGCACAGATCATTTTGTGTTTATTCTGCTTGTTTTAATATAAACTCTCTTCATTCTGACTCAATATTTCCTAAAAACAAGACTATATGTGTTGCTTGTCTAGAAAAAGCTTCTTGATTTAGGAGTTTTGTGATATTCAGATATATTAGATATTCAGCCCAGATTATTGGAGTCATGTGTGATGCAGATCTATAATCGCAGAACTCCACATAACACATATAGATCTCTGCATCTGAACTGGAGCTCCTGAATGCATCTGAACGCTCCGCTGTGGTGACGCAGGACTCTGAGAGGATCAAGCTCTTAGCGGGTCACGGCTCGTTTGCTGCCAGATAATTAAAGCAGGAGACTCACCTTACTGAAGAAGATCTCCTCTGTGCTGGACGTCTCCATGTCCAGCGTGTAAATGTGATCCCTGTCAGAACACAGAGGACAGTTCGCTTCAGGACACTGCATTACAGAAGTGCACTGCATCATCATCATCATCATCATCATCAGTCTTACTGTATGACTGGAGGAGCGTCTTTAAAAGCATCGTCTGTCATAATCCTGCCATTAAGAGCTGTTATTAATCACATGCGTTATATAGGTGATTTGCATAAACACACACACACACACACACACACACACACACACACGTGGCCTCTGCATTAATAACTGATAATCAGACTCCAGCAGCATGACGAGCAGTGTGATGTGTTCATTTACTTTCTTTCTTTCTTTTAATTAGAAAATGCCTATACTCGCATAGAAATCTGATATATGGTAATATATGCAAATTACATACGAGACAAGTCCACGTTCACACTTTAAGTGTCAAGTCACACCGTTCACTACTGGATTATTAGCTATTATTAAGATTTGAGCTGTTTATTAGCAGTATGATCTTATTTTACATCTCTAAAACCAACTACTACCTTACTAACTGTTGACCATATTATATATGATACTAATTAATAATATATTAATATTCCAATATTGAGCTTAGTTAATTGAATTGCAGGTTAAAATAAAGTGTGACTAAGATCATATCTGAATTTTACATAAATGCAATGTCAGATATGCTCCATATATTACAGAAATGGGCACTCGCACACACACACACACACACACACACACACACACACACACACACACACACATGCATTTCTTCAACAATTGGAGTTATGAATATGTGTTTGAAGTGATTAGATATAGTTGCATATGTGTGTTCATATACGAGCTGAATGGTTGAACAAATATATGGGAGTTGCCATTTTTGCTGAATATAACAATATATCAATATTTCTAAATATATTCATGCATTTTTTTCAGCTTAGTCACTTTATTAATCTGGGGTCTCCACAGTGGAATGAACCACCAACATATCCAGCATATGTTTTATGGCGGATGCCCTAAACACTAAACACCCATACACTCCCATTCACACACATACACTCCAGACAATTTAGCTAAACCAGTTCCCCTATAGCACGTGTGTTTGGATTGTGGAGGAAACCCACACCAACACGGGGAGAACATGCAAACTCCACACAGAAACACCAACTGACCCAGCCGAGGCTCAAACCAGAGACCTTCTTGTTGTGAGGTGATTGTGCTACTCACTCTGCCACCATTTCCAAATGTCTGATGCATATATTATTTATGTAAATTCAAACGTGTATGTATCTAATTTGCATATTGCTAATTATCTGCAGTTACACAAAAAATGCTGGGTAGGATTTACTGAATAACGGGATAATTGTTACAATTCAATTTAAACCATCTCTTGGGTTATTTCATATTTGACCCAACATTGAGTTGAAAAGCAGCATTTCTGTAGTGACATTAAAAGGCAGAACTAAAACAATTATTGAAATTGAAACAAACTGTTCCCAAGAGTAAAACATATCAGCAAATCAGTTCTGTTGAGCAGATATTGAGTCTAAATTTATTCCCAAATTCAGTGTTTTTAGACACATTAAAGTCTCTTTAGATTTGACAGGTTTGACAGGGCGTGCAGTGGCGCAGTAGGTAGTGCTGTCGCCTCACAGCAAGAAGGTTGCTGGTTTGAGTCTCAGCTGGGTCAGTTGGTGTTTCTGTGTGGAGTTTGCATGTTCTCCCCGTGTTGTTGTGGGTTTCCTCCGGGTGCTCTGGTTTACCCCACAGTCCTAACACATGTGGTACAGGTGAATTGAGTAAACTAGATTGTCCGTAGTGTATGAGTGTGAATGAGTGTGTGTGGATGATTCCCAGAGATGGGTTGCAGCTGGAAGGGCATCAGCTGCATAGAACATATGCTGGATGAGTTGGTGGTTCATTCCGCTGTGGCGACCCCTGATGAATAAAAGGACTAAACCGAAAAGAAAATGCATGACAGGGCTTTCATCATGTCAGCCAGACTCACTCTCTGATATATCCGCATGAGTTCAGCACAGGATATAAGTGTAACAGCTGTCAACACTCATTATTTCACTCCTGTTAGACAATATATCTTACTAATGTTACGTGAAACATTGATGTAGATACTTTAATAATGAGTAATTATTAAAAAAAATCAATTATTATTTAATTTAAATAATTAAATACGATCTCCACGTATTTCCCAGTGTTGGTTTGCAGCTGGAAGGGCATCCGCTGTGTAAAACATGCTGGAATAGTTGGCGGTTCATTCCATTGTGGCAACCCTTGATTAATAAAGGGACTAAGCCCAAAATAAAATGAATGAATGAATGACTGATTTCCACAAATATGAAGTCAGTTCTGGAGATTTAATCTGATGCAGAATCAATGGCACATCTTGACCCATACAACATCAACAATAAATAACACTGAAGATTATGATTGGATTACAGACGAGAGTGTGTGTGTGTGTGTGTGTGTGTGTGTGTGTGTGTATATGACAGTGTTATTTCCCAGTAGATGGTGAATGTGTGTTCAGTAAATTCTCTCTGTCATTGTGTGTGTGTGTGTGTGTGTGTGTGTGAGCGTGTGTGTGAGTACGGCTGAGTGATGCATGATAAAAAAATTACTTTGAATAATTGTTTAAGTCATTTGTGATGTATGTTAAAGTGTGACACCTAAAAGTACGAGTGGGCCCCACACGACCCCCCATGTCACTTTGGTCTGAAACGACCACTGATGATATGACATGATGCATAAATACATATTAAACAATCATATTCAGCAAGTGATAATTTTAGCAATCTCATTAGGAAATGTTGGAGCCAATCAGATGCTGCTGGGGCATGCATATTAACGATCCACTGTGGAATGTCACAGTT